TTTATTTATTAAAATACAAATTAAATGCTACTACACAACTCACTAGGCTCCCTTCCACCCCAGAACTGACCCCAATACTCACTCTCTTCCAATCTGTGTTAGTCAGGGTTTCCAGGAGAAACAGAATGGGTAGAATGAATGTATATGGGATTTACTAGAGTGACTTACAGCCTGTGGTCTGGCTAATCCAACAATGGCTATCTACCAACAGAAGGACGGGGGGACAAAGGGGACTTATTAGGATGACTTACAGGCTGTGGTCCTGATAGTTCAACAATGGCTGGCTATGAACAGAAAATCCAAGAATCCAGTAGTTGTTCAATCCACAAGATTGGATGACTCAATTTGTCTTCAGTATCTGCAAGAATCCCAACGAAGTAGGCTCTAATGCTAGTGAAGAACTGAGAACAAGCAAATGGCAAAAGCTTCCTCATTCCTTGTCCTTATGTAGGCTTCCAGTAGAAGGTGTGGCCCAGATTAGACCTGGATTAAAGGTGTGTTTTCCTATCTCAAAAGTCCAGATTACAAGTAGGTCTTCTCACTTCAAATTAAGCAGAAATCCTTCACAGGTGTGCTCTCCATTTCTGGATTTTAGTTCATCCCAGATGTAGTCAAGTTGACAACCAAGAACAGCCATCATACTGGGGAAAACAAAATTTTGACCTCAGATGGTATCTTAGGGTTTCTATTGCAGTGAAGAGACCCTACGACCATAGCAATTCTTACAAAACAAAACAAAAGCCATTTAATTTGGGATGGCTTACTGTTTCAGAGGTTTAGTCCATTGTCATCATAGTGGGAAGCATGGTGTTGAGAAGGAACACACGGTACTGGAGAGACAGCTGACCATCTGTGTTGGTTTGAATAAGATTCATGTCTGAATGCTTAAGGAGTGGCATTAGGAGGTGTGGCCTTGTTGGGATCAGCAGGTGGAAGCACTGGGCCTTTGGGGCATTTGAGATCCCACATCCCACCCCCAGTGACACACTTCCTCCAACAAGGTCACAACTACTCCAACAAGGCTATACCTCCTAATGCCATTCCCTGCACATTCAAATACATGAGCCTATGAGGATCAATCTTATTCAAACCATCACAGATAATTATAGCTAATGGCAAGGACTTCTCTCCAAAGGCCACCCTCCACCTGGAGGTGAAGGCTGTTGACATCTTTGTCCCTATTCATACCTTGGATCCATGGGGAGTCTTGTGTTCTCTCTCCTCAGAAAAATCAAGCTAGATGAACCCCAACCAAACCTTTGGACCCCTAGGTTCCCTTTCTTAAAATGCTTGCCCACATAAACCGTAGCCATGAAAATGCTCTCTAAAATTCTGCTTGGAAGAGACTGTTGGATATGCCTGAGGGTAAGGCAAGTTACATAGCTGGGCATAGGCTTAACCAAAATCCATTTAACCAATGACTCTGTGTCTAAATCCTGTCTTTGGGCCTTGCCTGACTACAGTAGGCTAATCTCCAACTCAAAAGCCTCTGATGATGCCTATGTTACATGCCCCAAGGAAGACCTCTGATCTAGCTACCCCTCAATTACCCCATGTGCTAAACTAAATACTTAGTTCCTGATCTTACAGTCATCCCTGGGAATGAAATAAATGACCAGTCCACCCCTATCTAAACCAAGGGATTCCAAATCACTTCTAGTCCTATTGGGAGTAACCATGGCAGGGGTTGTGACCCTGTGGGGAATGACCACTGGACTCCAACAAGTACAACATAGCCAACTTGCTCAACAAAACAAGGTTGATTTTACACTGGTACAAGACAGCATTAAAAAACTCCAGACTCAGTTGGACCCAACAGTCATGGTGCTACAAAACAGAGTGGGATCCGATCTCATTATGGCAGAGAAAGGGGAAATCTGTGCTATGTTAGGGGAAGAATGTTGCTTCTACATAAATTTATCAGATATCTAAGGGAGGATGCCAGACAGTTAAAAGGAAGAACAGATTCATGAGTCAGATGCCCACATCAAGCTGGGCAGGCTTCTGGGGTACTTGGGGAAAACGGAGAAGCCCCTGCATTGGGCCCCACATCATGACAGTTTCAGCTCTAATCTTCTGTCCTTTGTCCTCTCTAATCTGCTGTGGCAAAGAGCAGAGGCCCCCACCTCCTCAGTCACCGCTCAACTCTTACTGACCAAAGCTGCTACCTCAGAGCCCTGGAACCAGATGAGCCCAAAGAGCCAATATATGGGCTTGAGGAACATACACCTAAAGTCAAAAGACCCTGAAAACCCCCGTGTTTTCTCCTTACCCCTTACGACGACCCACCTCAGCATGAAGCAGTTAAGAGATGATGCCCCTGGATTACACATCAGGGTTTAGGATGATGGAATGCTTTGGTTGTAAAACAGGATTCCTATAGGATGCAACCTGACTCAGCTGTTATGTCAGGATCTCTAGAACAGCTGCCCTCAACTTTCCTAATGCTGTGAACCTTTAATAGAGTTCCTTATGTTGTGGTGAACCCCCTCAACCATGAAATTATGTTTGTTGCTACTTTATAACTGTAATTTTGCTATTGTTATGAACTGTAATGTTACTATCTGATATGTAGGATATCTGTGACCCTTATGAAAGGGTTGTTCAACTCCCAAATCAGTTATAACCCACAGGTTGAGAATTGCTGTTCTAGAGGAACGGAACTGGTAAAATGACGTGTGTGTGTGTGTGTGTGTGTGTGTGATTTATTGATTTATTAGAGTGTGGCTTACAGGCTGTGATCCAGCTAGTCCAACAATGGCTGTCTACCAACGGAAAGTCTAAGAATCCAGTAATTGTTCAGTTCATGAGGCTAGATGTATGTCTTAGTTGGCCTTCAGTAATGCTGGAATTCTGAAGAACTAGGCTCTAGCGCCAGTGAGAGAATGGAACTGCCATCAAAAGTAAGGGCAAGCAGGCAAAGAGCAAAGCTTCCTTCTTCCATGTCTTTTAAACGGGCCGCCAGCTGGGGTGGTCCAGATTAAAAGTGGTATTTGCACTTCAAATGCTTTAATTAAGAAAATCCCTCAGAAGTATACCCAGTCACTTGGGGTTGAATTAATTCCAGATGTAGCTGAGCTGATAACCAAGAACAGTCATCACAGCTACAGACATGAATGTTCCAGAGAGAGCCTGTCTCCCAAGATAATCTTGCTTGAAACAGAGAATTCCAGGAAACAGGGACTGAGACCCACATGGCCCTACAGCTGCAACGATTTCCTCATTCCTAAGCCCAGCACCCCAGCATTTTCTCTTACAGGCACCCCCTTTCTCACGGCAGAGTGTCTGCCCTTCACTGTCTGAAGTAAACACTCCTATCTGTTGACATCAGACGCTGGGTTCTCCTTGTCTCTTCATGCTGCCTCAGAAGCCTACAATTTCTATACTGCGACTTTTAAAGGCCTTGAAGAGAAGGACTTCGTGCTGTAGACTACGGGAAAGAGCATTCTGGGAGACAGCCTCCATTGGCTGTAGTAAATCATCCTCTCTCAGCCACATGAGCTAGCCCTAGTAATTAAAAGCAATTTAAATGACACCTATTAATTTGTGTGTGTGTGTGTGTGTGTGTGTATGTGTGTGTGTGTGTGTGTGTGTGTGTGTGTGTGTTTGTGTGCGCACGCGCACATGTGTTAGGGCGAGCTTGTACCATGGTTTATGTGTGGAGACCAGGGGATAACTTCAGGACGGGTTTTCTTCTTCGACCATGTGGGTCCTGGGAGTTGAGCTCAAGCTGTCAAGCCTGGCAGCAAGAGTGGTCCCTCGCTGGGCCCCACCTTAGGAATGTTGTTTGTTGAAATGCACAGTCCTCAGAGATGTCTTAATACAGCTGACGTTAATAGACAGTCTTCCAGATGTGGGCGTTTCAGTTAGGTGTATAAGTTTCAGTCCCATAATAGCTGTCAGACGGCCTTGGTGGCTACTTTAAGTGGCTTCTGACAGGACTATTGATTGATGTTAGACACAGTTGCCCGCAGGGTCTTATGTTGGCAGTGTGGGGAAATTCCATGGTGAGTGGAATGTTGGCCTCAGTGGGCGCATGGCTGCCTCCACAGCCTTTCCCGGAACCTAGTTGGCCCTTTTAAACAGTCACTGTCCTTGTATTACACAACAGACATCCAGCCAAAGAGTAAAAACAACCAAACAACAGACCGCCATGCTACTGTGGACTCAGAGTGCTTGTTTAGTCTGCCTATAAGAGAGCACTGTATCAATCAATGTTACTTGTGTTGGGTTTGCCACGTAATCAACTTTTATAATCAAAGCTAATACATAGCTATAATCTCCAGTCATGTACTCTTCCATGTATTTCACCCAGACAACAGAATTGAATTATTTGCTAAAAGCAATAATTACAGAAATTGAAAGCGAATTTCTAAACTCTACCATTAAAGTTGAAAGCAACATTTAAGAATTCTGGTTGATAAACAACGAGGGTCATTGTTTGGGTCAGTAGGAGCCAGTCAGTGACACTTTGTAACACTGTTAAAGATGTCTGAAAAGTATCCCATTCCTTTCCCATGTGATGTTTTCTGTGTTGTTCAATGTTACAAGAATTTTGTCTATGTTGTGGTCCGATGTCCAGTGGAATAATTGCCTTTCTCTATGGCCTCAAGCCCAGGCTTCAAGTCAACGCTCCAGTGCCTGCATGTTTTCCCAAACCCTGATCTGATATAGATAGGACCAACCTGAGTGGCTCTGTGATCTGGCTGGAAGTATGGACTAACTTCCTATAACCTCTCAAGGAACTCTTAGAAAAGGCTGTATTAACTAAACGGTGTATAAATCAGTCTTTCACATTGCACCTAAATTTTAAGCCTTAAAAAAATTGGCTCCCCAGAGTACCATAAAAAAGAGTTTATTGTGATTTGGGTAAATAACCTTCTAATAATCAGGTACAGATGGGCTAACTATGGAATCTGCCATCTAAACTAGGATGCTATAAATTTAAGTGCCTAGAAATAATCTGGGATCATTCCTGGTAAAATGATCCCTTTACTTATCGAAACACAGGCCACATGTATTAGTCTCAATGGCTTCATATGCTCGCTCACATTACACGTTTCTCTTCCCAAAATGTAACAGGTATCGGCAGGCCTTAAGGATGTCCTGCTGGCCATAGCAGGCTTTGTGCTTTGCTCTTGAAGGTGGTAGCGGCTCTCAATGTACAGTCTCATGATATGTGCCCTTGCTCGCAAAGCGGCCTTCAGGTGCTCCGTGGCCACCTGTCAGGTCAAGGTGCCGCTTTCAGGTAAGGTCCATTGCTGGCTGCAGAAAGCAGCTTTTCTTTGGGACCCTATTCTAAAAGGTCTTTAAGTAAAGGCTTGTTTGTTGGTGTAGAAACAAGTGATTCTGTTGGGATCCATAAGTGAACCAACCTAGCAGGAGCTAAGGCCTCCTGCTGCTCACACCAAGAACAAAGGAGCCAGCAACAGGCAGGCTGTACTCTTCACAGGCCGGTTTACAGAAACCAGTCTTGGTTGCTGTGAGAACACAGAAAAAGCGGGTTGCTGGAGGCCTTAGCGTGAACAAACTTGTAGGAAAACACGCGCAATCCTTTTTCTCAAAGCACAGGCCAAAACCCGCTGCTCATGCCTCCCTGCTCAGTCTGGAGGACTAAGTGATCTAGGCAGAAGACGCCCTCACTCCCAGGAAGTCTCTGGTCGGCCGCGCGGGCCTCTGCTTTCGGGGGACAGCAGGGTTTGGGCGGTTCCAGGGTGGAGGTTGGAGAGAGGCCCTTTTCCAGCAGTGGCCAAAGCCACACTTTCCTGACAGAAGACGCAGGCATGTCGTGCGGTCCATCCGGCCACTCGGCCTGTCCCCACACTTGAAACTAATCGAAGTCACACAGGGAAGAGTAGGTGGGTGTGGAGGGAAACATCACAATGACGCGGACGCACGGCAGTACGGTCGCCGAAGCAGTTCTGCGTGCATGCGCAATCTAATACCCCTAGAAGCTTACGTAATGCGCTGACACTTTCCCCAATCCGTTGGTCGCTAGCAACCAGCTACAACTCACGTAGTTTCTCCAGCGGCTCCCAGTCCTCCCAAAGCGCCTGCGCGAAGCCGTCCCACCGCCCGCCCGCTCTGGAGCTCGAGCGTGGCGCCTGCTGCCAGCGCTCTGCGGAGCGTCAACTAACCTCTCCGACTCTCGGACGGGGCTGTATTTCTCATCGCTGGCATCGACTGGTTCCGCCGTGGCGAAGATTCCACGGCCGGCCTTTTCGTCCTCACGAACTACACCGAGGAGCATCGATCATTCCCGACTCGGCTGATCGCGACAAGAGCCGAGAGGAGCGCCGAGCGATCGATGCCCAGCCCCGCCCTCTTCGGGTCAAAGGCTCGGCAGCTTGTTCTCTTTTTTCCGGGTCGTACCTTGCCAAAAATCTCACCCACGATTTTACCTAATCCTTCCAACTCAGATGATTAGTTCTCCCTACTTTACGTCGTAGGAAACCTAGGTGAAAGAAGATTGGTCACAAAGTTTTGAAAATCACCTGTATAATTTGAACCCCCAAGTAGGGAAGCTAGGCTGCTTCCGGTGAGGTGGCCTCGGTTTTCCGTGCAGAGATAAGCAGGTGCCGATGGCGTGGGAATCACCGCGAATTTTGTGTTTTGAGCATTCTTTCCCGGTGGGTTCCAGAGGTGCTGGGTTTGCAGCAGCAGCTGATGCCCTGTAAAGCTCCGCTAGCCTTGGATTTGGAGTATGGTCAGAAAAGCGTGGGTAATTTATTTACTGCTCATCAGGAATGAGCTGGTGAGGTTTTCATCCTCTTAACAATCCTGCTAAGTAGAGATGAGGAAGGGGGTGTGATGTTTGCCCAAGGGCAGCGCTAGGGAACAGTCGTTTTCTAGGTGCTGTGGTTGGTGATATAGTCTTGTTTTCTGTGCTAGTTAAAGGGTTAAAAGGCAGGAAGAAACACAACAGACAGCAGCAAACACATGTAGAAAAAGACTTTCTACAAAGCCAGTGGGGTGGGGTTGGAAAGCCGAAAATTCCAGTCTCTTTACGAGACTTTTATTTTTTTAATTCCTTCCCTAATTTAGGGGTGGTGGGTTTTTGTTTTGACTCTGTTTGGTTTTGGTTTTTCAGAGAGAGTTTCTATGTAGCTTTGGAGCCTGTCCTGGAACTTGCGCTGCTGGCCTCGAACTACCAGAGATCCACCTACCTCCTCCTCCCAAGATTAAAGGCACGCACCACCATCACCCAGCAGGGTTGGTGGTTTAAAGATGATGATATGCCCTGATCTGGTCTTAAACTTGTTGAGCCAGTGGATCAACAGGAATCCTTCTAATGGGAGACAAAGCCTACAAGGCCTTTGTTGTAAGATGTTAGGCTTTTGTCTCAAGTCAGAAGGGTCAGGAAGAAGTCGGCCATCTTGAAAGTGTGATACCTTATTAAGTAGCCATGGCTCCTCTCCATATCTGTGTATCTACCAGGAAGTCTAACGCCTCTCACTAGAACGCATGCACACTGTTTGAAACCTCAAAGCCATAGCTAGCTGTTGCTGTTATCGCCGACCCCAGGTATGGAGGGAGGAAATAAAGAGCAAAAATCTGTCATTCCCTGAACCAGCTTACCTTACCTCCCTCACTGAGTGCTGAAATTTACCTGAGCACAATACCCTTGGAAAACAGGAAAGAAACACATCTTATCATCCCTTTGTATTGCAGTAAATATTTTACTGCAGAAAAACATCCTTCCCATAGCACTTAGAACTCCAGGATGCTACTTCATTCCCTGGGATGGGCCAGACAGTCCCTCCAAAATTTCATGCTGTGTTTAGTAAGCAATTATCCTAACTACTTGTCTCCACTTATTAACAAAATGCTAGAGAGACAGATTAGGTCCCTGGATGTTGGTCCTCATATAGCCACACACGGGGTGACCCCAGGGTGCAATGACTGATCTGCTAGGCCAGCATCCTTCCCTTTTCATTTCACTCCCTGAGTTTTCTCGTTTTGAATTTCTTCTCTGTGAAAGAAAAGTTCAAACTGGAGGACGATCTGTCAGTAAAGTGTTTGTTCTGCAAGTATGAGGTCCTGAGTTCAAGTCCTCAATACCCAAGTGTAGGATCAGGTTCCGTACAATTCCAGGATTGGGGAGGCAAAGACAGGAGGATTGCGGGCTTGCTGTCCTGTCAGTCCAACAGAATCAGATCCAGGATCAGGGAGAGGGGCTGTCTCAAAGGTAAGGTAAAGAGCAATTTGGGAAGATATCTAACCTTGACCTCTGAATCCCATATGTTCCTCTCCCAACCCTTCTCTCTCTGATCTTTTTGTCTAATCTTCAAGGCACATAGTGGCATTTCATTTGTATTTTAATAAATAAAGCTTGTCTGAGGATCAGAAAAGTAAAACAGTCACGTTGACCAACCTTGCAGACCAGGCAGCAATGACACACACCTTTAATCCCAGTAGCCACACTAGTTTGCCATAGAAACCAGACAGTAGTTGTGCACACCTTTAATCCCAGCACTAGAGAGGATTATAAAACAGGAGGAGACAGCTCTCAGTCCCAGTCTCATTCTGAGGTTTCCTGGAGGCAGAATCACCATTTTTGGACTGAGGTTGGGGTAAAAGCCAGTGGCTGGCTGCTTTGCTTTTCTGGTCTTCAGGTTGAACCCCAATATCTGTCTCTGAGTTTTTATTCATTGTGCTTCAAGGGCACTTGCAGACTTCCTGGCCACAAACTGCAATAGATGAGTGGAAAAAAAATAAAAAGGAAAGGAGATGACTGCTCCTAGGTAGCACATGGTGGAGGAGAAAGTTTGTTGTAGGTAAAAGGGAGCCATAGAGGTAGGGACATCTGGGAGAGTCCCTGAGCCCTGTGAGGAGAGGGGTGAGGGAAAAGAAGAGGGGAGGAAGGGGAACTAGGTGTAGCAGCCAGGAGGCCAAAGCTATAAAAGGGGCAGATAACCAAAATGGCTGAAATATATAAGGGAAGAGCCCCCGAAGGGAGTGAAGTCCAGCCCCAGCTGCATCTCTTTCCTCCTTTCAAATATCATTCAGATAAGAAACAAAACCTCTCTTTCCTAGGCTTGAATTTGATCTTTATTTGGCAGTGGTTAGTGGGTGAGAGGTTATGGAGATACTGTGGTCGGGTGGACGTTAGATTCTCAGTTGTACAGACAAATTCCACAGCCATCACGGAAGGAGACTTGAACCTGGAACCTGCAGGTCCCAAAGTTCTCTCGTACGGTGTTTGGGAATAGGATATGGCTGCAGCAGGTGGCACGGACCGCTGCCAGCCAGAGAGACAAACACCCCTTTGTCAGCTTGATTATGACTTTCGTTCAGGATGGAGATAAAACTCAGGATCTCACATAGACTAACACGCTCTCCTGCCGAGCGACACGGCTGGCCTTGTTTGTGTATTCAGAACCAGCTCATGATGAATTATAGGCATAAAGAAAATGTCTCCTTAAAAGAACTGTAATTTTTCGCCACTGTAGGGGTTTTACTTCCTGTCATCTTTTTATCACACGCCCCCATTCCCAGCAGCTTTGGAATTGGCCATTAAGCCGCCAGACCCATTTGAGAGCCATGAAAGGCACCAAACAAACAAAAGGAATCATTAGTGCCCATATTTGTGATTTTTCTCCATTAGATCAGAAGCCTATAATTTAAATATGTCCAAGTGCTATGGGAACATTTGCGGCTTAATTATGAAATTTATTTAAAATATACAAACAAGAGTCTAAACTCAAAAACAACATTTAGCGTGGCTGTGCGAGAGACATTTAATGCACTTCAGTTCCACAAAGAGAAGAGTGGAGACCTCCCAATGCCTGGCTCTTTCTCTGTGTGTGATGGAGGGCTGGTTACTAGGCTATGCCCTATTCCAGTTACATCATTGCCTCAGCAAGGAGCTGGTGAGCAAACCTGCAATAACCCCAGCAAGGAGGTCACAGTCACCTTAGGATTTCCAAATAAAAATGACCTTGGATGTTAGAACAACAATAAAAACTCAGACACAGTCAGGCTGGCTGACGGCCTTACTGTCATCATCTTCCTCCTCCATGGACTGGGCCTAATGATCTATCTCCAAGAAAAGCCTGCTGGGCATCCCAAGTCATCTCTCTTGTTTGACCTGTCTCAAACCCCATGTGTTCCAGCTCCTAGTAATGCTGTGCCATCTTTCCTGCTTTGCCTGGGGGCCCAAAGGTTCTGAGTAGCAGTTTCCTCTGAATTGAAATATTCCTTCTGAAGGGAAGTTCCTTGGGACTCAAGGGATTCTAAAGAGAGGCCCCATAAGACTCAGGAAGTCCCTGAGACTTACCAGATGCACGAGGTCACTCCCTCCCTGAGATTAAGCAGCAGTAAGGACTACTGAGGGGCGGGGACTTGCCAGACTTTCCAGATGTCTACAGGTGGTGCAGAGAGCTCCAGGGTCCCATCGCCCTAATACCTCCAGGGATCACTGCTTTTTATTAGATTTGGATCTTAGGTGACTTCCACAGTATCTGTGTGGATAGCTTGGTTCCCACCTGATGGTGTTTTTCAGACAGTAGTTCTCAATTGTCCTAAGGCTCATGTTGTGGTGACCCCCCAACCACAAAGTTACTTTTGTTGCTACTTCAGAAGTCTAATTTTGCTACTGTTATGATTTGTAATGTAAATAACCAATATGCAGGTTATCTGATATATGAAAGGGATTGTGACCTACAGGTTTAGAACCATTGTTTTAAGAGCTAATGAAAATTTTAGGTGATGGGTACTCTCTTTTGGAAAAAGTAGATTTTTTTAGAGGTGTCTTAGGACTCTAGTTGCTTCTCCTCTGCCTTTCCTTCCCAGCTTCCAAGAGGTGAACAACTTTGCTCCGGCACAGGCTCCTGCTGTGACATTCTGCCTTAGCACAGACCCAGAGTGATGGGGCAAAATGACCCTGGACTTAGACATCTAAAGCTATGAGGAATCTGTGCCCAGACTCATGTACCCTTTCTCCTTTAAAGTTGATCTTTCTCGGGTGTTTTGTCCCAGTGAGAGAGAGCTGCCCAATACACTACCTTGGGCTTGGGAAGATAAAAAGGTCTTGTTTGGTCTTCCTTTCCCATGTGCATCAGTTGCTTCTCACAGTGGCGAGAAAACGCCTG